AGAAAAATACAATTAAAAATGGGATAAAATGGAAAAACGCTAGAAAAAAAAAAGAAGAAAAATACAAACCAATAAATCAGACAATGTATCCAAATCACTAGAACAACAAAAGCACACAAATTTTGCAATTCTCTTCTTCCTCTGTTTTTTTTTCTTTGTGTGTGTGTGTTTTTTTTGTCTTTTTGTACGGATGGACCACGGATCATATATTAAACTGATGATCAGTACAGACACAACACTTGATCTGTTTTTAGCCAAAAGGCCAAGAAACTTGAAGAAAGGTATCTTTTCTTTTTTTTGCACTTTCTTGGCATAAGATGAAATTCACATTCCCTGCCCCTCCCTCCCCACCCCTTCTTTCTTCGCCCCACCCGTTTGAAACTCCTTACCAACTTACTTACCAATTCATCGGGCTATCATACGGTCATTTTCGCTGCATCTGGACTGAAATCTGAGCCAAATACGGCCATAATGACCGTCGTTCTCTTCGGGGGGGCGAGACAGTAGGACGTAGGGCACAAAAGCATGCCCATGCATGTACGTTAAGTCAGTCACACAGAGACAAACAAACTCGACCAGGTCTGGACCGGTCAAGAACAGAAACCACTGCTGCAGAGGCACGAAGGGCCCAGTGCCCAAGGCTGATATTACCAATAAGAGGAATGAGGCCGGGGTCCTCACAATCTGCCCGGAGAAACCGAACCGAACATGCTGAGAACCAGGCTCAGCGTCCCTCATGTGGTGACTATGATGATGATGATCCTGATGATGATGATGATACTACTGATGATGATACTGATGGTGATAAAAAAAAAAATTGTATTAATTGTAGTACGCTATCCTACATCAACAATTCTGGTCTCCTAATCCTAGAGCAACTTCTAGCCCTCCCTGTACCAGGACACTGTAAAACAGAGACAATACCAACCTAACCAATGTAACCCATAGGTGATCTCTCCTCGCCACCGAGCAGCCCCCCCCGGTTCGCCAGTGGATTGCCTTCCTCCCTCGGCAACGCCCAGATCTCTCTACAAGGCCGCACACTCCTGCCTTTGCAGGTTACAGGGTAACGCCCCAGCTCCGGCCCGCGGCGTTCTGGCATCGGCAAAACAGGGGCACAGAAACGAACAACTCTGCAGATATCGGTGCGGGTTCGACCATCCCTGAAATCCTATATCCCGGATGTGGAAGAAAACTCGATGCTGCCCAAAATTTCCAGAACACCAGAAGGCTTAATATAACATTGATGAGATAATGATACTAATGATGATGATGATGATGATATTGATGAAGACGATTATGCTTTTTTTTGTTTTTTGAGAATTCTAAAGAAATTGCCTGCACCACCTTTATTAGATCTAGAGGATTGTGAATACTATGCTATATCCGCTATTCCGGCTTCCTAAACCGAGAGCAACTCCTACCCCTCCCTATACTGGGACACTACTACTCAAAGACAGTACCAACCAAAACAACATCAACCATAGCTGACCTTTTCTCGCCCCCGAGACTATCCCCGGCCCCAGACGGTGTCAAGGCGCCCCCCCCAATTCCCCACTGGATTGCCTTCCTCCCTCGGCAAACGCCAGATCTCTCTACAAGGCCTCAAGCTCCTGCCGTGGCAGGTTACAGCATAACACCCCAGCTCCGGCCAGCGTCGTTCTGGCATCGGCAAATTGAGAGCATAGAACAGAGCAACCCTATTGATGTCAGTCCAGGTGCAACCATCTCTGAGGTCGAGGATCCTAATAAAGAAGAAGACCCGATGCTGCTCTAGCTCTCAGAACCCCAGAAAGCTGAAAATAACATGATTGATTCAAGAAGCTTCCAATAGAGGCACAAAGCGCTAATCAGCATTATAACATAGAGCAGCACCGACACATATTTACTAATCAAAATACAACATTCAAAATTTTCAATATATATGGGAGAAAATATGCACATAGTATACATACAGCAGTTGCAACATCCTTCTAGGGGTTTTCCTTTTTGCCTTTTTTCCTTCGCTTTCAGGAACGCGAGAGAGAGAGAGAGAGAGAGAGAGAGAGAGAGAGAGAGAGAGAGAGAGAGAGAGAGAGAGAGAGAGAGAGAGAGAGAGAGTGCTCAACTAAACAAACAATCCACGGACATCATCCTTATCCCCAGCAAACCGCCCCTACGTGGCCCCAGCCTTGTTGAGAAATCTTTCCTCGCCAACCAAGATTTTGGAGCCTCGGCGCCAAGAAATCTTTCCTCGCTCGCCTACGAAAATTTCGGAGCCTCGGTGCCAAAAAATCTTTCCTCACTCGCCTACGAAAATTTCGGAGGCTCGGTGCCAAAAAATCTTTCCTCGCTCGCCTACAAAACTTTTCGAGGATCGGGGCCACCGGACAACAATGGTTGGTGACGCTAGTCAAAATAAAAATAAATATGCTTTGGCGGTTGAGAATAGCTTGGCGCGCAGTGGAAGGCCGCCGGGCGCAGGTGTGTACTGGTGTTGTGGTGTTGTTGGTGTTTTAAAGGCAACAGCGAGTCCCTCATGGAGGGGGTTGCCTTTGGGAGAGAGATGGAGGGAAGGCCTACCTCTTACTGGTGCAGGCAAAACGAGAAGATATATCAGCACACATAACAACGGGACCCGTAGGCATGACAGACTCCATGTGTGGGCTCCCAATGATGAACTGGAGCTCTACACAAAGGAGAGAGGGGGGGGGGGGGGGGGGGAGAGCACACGGCGAGGTAAAGAGAGAGGAAATAGGCGGCTGCGGGCAACTCCCAAGCTCGCACCGATCCATTTGCTCAAACTGAGCAGATCTCAGGCCATACTCCCACTACCGCTTTTCAAAATGTCTCTGCCTCAAATTACGGCAACAGCTCGATGCATCTGACCGTAATCAGGTCCAGATGCTGTCGGAAAAGTCCTAGTGTGAGTATATGCTTGCTACACGATCTGTCTCTTATACACATCTAGATGTGTATAAGAGACAGGCTCCCTTTCAGGGAATACGAGCAGAATTCATGTAGCCATCAGTCAAGTTATGTGTGATGATATGTCTGTGGCTGCCACAGCGTGGCAGTCAAATTCTCTGTGTCTGCAGCAATGCTGGTGGGTGTGTCAGTCCAGCTAGCTCATAGCATCAGGGCATGCATGTTATTGAGCTGATTGACTAGATGGAGATCAGGGTTTTGGCCGATGAAGCTCGTTTGCTGACATCATTTTTCTGAAGTAGATGTGTTAGCCAGACCATGTGGGATACAAAGGAAGCGAAGGGAGAGGGGAGGGGGAGGGGGAGAGGGAGGGGGAGAGGGAGGGGGAGGAAGTGGGGGAAGGGAGACGGATGTGGGGTTCTCAATCATGACCGGAGATGTGTCAGATACACCCAGTGTACACAGACAGCAGGTCTGTGAGACCATGTCTCCTTCATATGACCCATCTCTGCGTAGTGTTTGTATCAATAGACGTAGGTGCTACATAAGTGCAGCAATAGGAGTCCTTCAGCAAGGTAGCAAACAGAACATGTAGATGAGAAATAAGCTACACGTGTGCAAAATTCTTGACTTCATCGAGCTCGCCATGCCAGCTTCTTCGGTTGCAGGCCTCTTGTATACCCATGGAATGTGAGGTAGGGTTTGGTTGAAG